AAGAGACCCATATAATGAAAAGATACACGTCAGATAGACCACACCCCACCAATGAAGGCGAAGATACTAGATCGGATGGAAGAATGCACAGAGATGTGTTCTAGCAATCCTGACTTCCGTATTATGGAGCAGGCTTATATGAAACTCAAGTCGCAGAGTGAGTAGACGGCTGTCTTGTACCGACTTTGTTCGAGTTCTCTGTTCGTTACTGTTTCTTGTTTAACAGGTTTATTTATTTAACAGATCCAAATCTTTAACCACCGTCGAAACCAACGAAGCGGCAAATTACCGATTTTGACCGGCAGAAGGAGGAAGAGGAACTTCAGATGGCGCTCGCATTGTCTATTAAGGATAAATCTTCTTCTTCTTCAACCCAGAACAACACCGCTGCACAGCGTACGACCAGTCAGGATAGCCAGGGCCAGCCTGCACCGTCCCAGCTTCTTCCATCAGGTACTACCGCAGCCACCGTTTCTCGGGTTCGAGCCCTATATGACTTTCAACCATCTGAGCCCGGAGAACTCCAGTTCCGCAAGGGTGATGTTATTGCGGTGCTCGAATCTGTTTACAAAGATTGGTGGAAAGGTTCTCTGCGGGGCCAAACCGGAATCTTCCCCCTTAACTATGTTGAGAAACTATCAGATCCCACCCAAGAGGAGCTCCAAAGAGAAGCTCAAATGGAGGCTGAAGTTTTCGCCGAAATAAAAAATGTAGAGAAACTTTTGACGCTTTTGAGCACCAGTAGTTCAGAATTGAACGTCCAGGAGAACGACGAAAATCACAACTCTATATCATTCTACGCTTGCCATACGCCCAAAACTTATTGAATTGATTGGAAAGTACTCACAGAAGAAAGGTGAGTATTTAGATTTGGGCTGTTTTCTCAACACTATTTGCTAACCATCTTGAAGACGACTTTACCCAACTTAATGAAAAGTTCATCAAAGCTCGAAGAGACTACGAATCCCTTCTAGAGGCCTCGATGGCCCATCCATCACAGCCGCATTACGGACGGCCGCCACAGTCTGCATACAGCTATCCAGTGCAAAGTGCATCCCCTGGATACCCTCAGGGGGTTCAACAGGACGAAGCCCATCATTACTATGCCGCTCACCCACAAGGTATGAAATTTTGCACCTATCTGCGCTTTCGTGGCTTCTGTATCATTTCCTTCCCCCTTGATTTGGCTATCTTTATTAGGGTTCTCCTTTTGAAAGTACTTCCGCTGCTCACAAATACATAGACGGCCCAAAACCTTTCCAATCTAGCCAAACTCCGTTCTACAGCTCCGAGCAAGTTCCGCTCCCCTACCCGAACAATGTGCAGACTCCTGATACCAGACAACGAACACCCAGCGGCACACGCCCCTTGCAACAATCTCAGCAGCAACCCCCCTCTGACACGTACGGAGCAAATGGTCTTGTTCATAACCACGCTCAGAATTCCTCCGACCACCCCCAGGAGCTTGGAACATCAGTATATGACTCCCCGCAAGACAGCGTCCCGCCAAATATTCGACATTCTTACCACTCGCCAAGCCATCAACCAAGCCACCAGGTTCAACCACAGCCGGCTGACTTTTCTTCTCTTCCATACTCGCCTGTGGGTAACCCCCAGTCACAAACTCCATCTCTAAATCAACCTTATACTGCACAATCACACCCACCTCAACATATTCAACAGCATCAACAGCTCGCTACGTCAGCTCCTAGCCAACCTCACCAAGCACCTCCATCTGTCCCATCCAGTAGTCCAGGTCAGCCTCCGTACCCTACAGCCCCTGCTGCAGCGCGGCCAGGACCAGGCAGTGGGAGTTACCAGTCCTATCATCCACCAAGCGGCCCACAAGCAACTTCTTCAAACGTAAACCTAAACCCAAGTTCCTTCTATCGGTAAATATGTGTTCTTCATTTGCCAAAGATTCCAACCCATGTCCCAATGGGAAATTGGGCAGATAGCAAACCTTTTCTACTATCCTCCGCCCCTAGGATTTCGGCGATCTTGGTTGGAGGATGCACGCAGGCGTTTACGGAATTTCCTCCAGTTAGTATTCATTTGCCTCTTTGTAAACAGTTCACAGGTCAATCCAATTTTGCGGACATTGCTTTTATGTTGTTTTTCTCCTAGTTGACTAAAACTTTCTTGTTTGTTCTGGTATAAGAGAATGAAAGTCTATGCTTTATAGTCCTAGTAATATTCTTGCTGCCTCCGTCTTTTTCAATTTCCGTATCATCTACTAGATGTATACCCTGCATACCGGCTTTTGCGGTGTCACTGGGTTCCTGTCAGTTCGCGTGTGATTATACCTCACGATTCCTACATATATTTATGAGCCTGTAGCTTCCTCCCCCAAGCCATGTCGACTTGGGTTGATACGTATTGATTGTTATAATAGCTAATCTAAATCACTTTTGGAAGTCCACTGCTAAAGCGGGCTTGAATTAAATTATTTACTCTAGCATTGAATGAAACTGGTTTCGGAATGCCACGCTCGGCTCATTGGGCACACCAGGGCGGGGAGCTGCTGGAGTCACGTGTCATTGTGTTCTCCCAGCGAGCCCTGCTCAGCTACCTAAGTTTACATAACTGTAACTCGACTTTCGCCAGCGTTGCGATGACTTAACCCAAGCACCGAAGCGCGAACCAAAGTCAACGGGAAGTAATTGATATCTTGTGTACTGGCGTGAACATTTGCGAATTCGGGTCTTTCGTGGAACGCCTCCTTCCTATCCATTGCTTGCGTTCTCCATTTACCTTCACACATATTCTTTCCTGATTGCGGTGAACGACCACTTCAACATCCCTAATTTTATTACCGGAATTTTCCTCGAACATGATGTTCCCCGAGGGCCCTTTTCCCTACGGGTAGGATTATTCGAACAACGTTGCTATCCCGTCTCAACGACGAGTTATAAAGCGCTTGGGTCTAGAATATATCGGCTTCGTCTACAGCACTGGCGAATAACTGAGGCATCGTCGGCCTGCACGATGGATCCGGACTGGGATGAGGTATCCCGGATAGCGGTCCCTCCTTCAGGTCCCCATGTCCTACCGACCGTCGCCTCAACGATTGCGTTTGATGACACACAGGAGTTACTGTGGACGGGAAATGAATTCGTGAGACCACGGCCTCGAGTCCCTATCTAGGATAACATGCGTCGCAAGAGCGCATCGCCTAGACAAGTAATTTGCTAATACATATCCAATGTTGATTATCGTTAGGGACGAGTGACTTCCTTCTACGGGCCAGAGCTGCAGAGATATACGTCCGTAAAAGCACACCCGGCTTCTGAAGGGCCTGTTCGCCAGCTTCTATTCCATGAGAAAGGCGTATTATCAGTGTCCTCTAAGAGCGTGCATCTCACCTCCCGCCGTGGCCTGACAATATGGCATCTCTCCCACGAAGAAATGGAGGATCTCCGTTGCATGAGTTTCACCAAGCAGGCTTCAAGGGTTATTGTTGCTGGCTGCCAACCCGTAATGTTCCACATTGACGTTGACAAGGGAATAATTGTCGAGAAATTAAACACGGAGCATAATTACACAATTATGAAAAAGAGTCGTTACCTATGTGCCGCGACTGATACTGGCTCTGTTAATGCACTGAGTCTATCCGATTTCAGTGTCGTGAAAAGTTGGAAAGCACATGGTACCGTTGTCAACGACATGGATGCGCGGAACGACTACCTCGTTACGTGCGGCTTTTCCGTACGACATCTCGGATCTCCGATTGTCGACCCCTTGGCGAATGTGTACGATTTAAAAACCTTAGCCCCATTACCCCCTATTCCGTTTCACGCTGGTGCAGCGTACGTCCGAATGCATCCAAAGTTACAGACTACAAGCTTCGTAGCTTCCCAGACCGGGCAGCTCCAAGTAGTTGATCTAATGAATCCTAATGCTATTAATCTGCGACAGGCAAATGTCACATTTATGCTCGGTCTTGAGATTTCACCCTCAGGGGAAGCTCTCGCAGTCAACGATGCTGAATGCCTCATACATCTCTGGGGTTCCCCGTCCAAAATCCATTTCAACGAAATGAGCAAGGAAACGGAGTTCGCGGATGTTCCCTCCCGGCCGCCTATGATAGATTGGTCAAATGATACCCCCTTGAACGTGATTGGTATTCCATACTACCATGAGCGATTACTCTCTGCCTGGCCGAGCCACTTGGTTTTTGAAATCGGAAGCATTCCTCCGCAAGTTGATCAGGCCATTATTCCATATCTTCACGCTGGGGAAATAGGGCATTACGCCCCCAATCCACGGAAGACCAGGAGATATCAGGTTGAAAGCACGCGGGCACAACCCGCCGCGGAGCCGGCATTAGCTGCTCCAAAGTTTTTAAGCGAGCGAGCAAGGGCTCAGGCAAAAGCCAAGTTTGACAATAATATGAGTGAAACTGCGGATACATTAGAGAGTATAGCCATTAATAAAGAGGCAGAGGAGGATCCACTTTTAAAGTATGGTAATGTCGAGATCAAGTATAGCAAGTTCGGAGTGGATGATTTCGATTTTAGGTTAGTTACGTTTTTCAATACTCCGCATCGAATGGATGCTAACCCCGCTCCCATCTAGATATTACAATAACACGGTGTTTTCGGGATTGGAGACGCATATTGCCAACTCCTTCGCAAACCCTCTTCTTCAGCTGTTTAAATTCATTCCACTAGTCAAAAATTTAGCCCTCCACCATGTAGCAACGAACTGCATATACGAAAACTGTCTCCTGTGTGAAATGGGTTTTCTGTTTGACATGCTCGACAAAGCAAACGGGCAAAACTGCCAGGCAACAAACCTGTTAAGAACCTTCAGTGGTTTTCGAGAAGCAACAAATCTTGGTCTTCTTGAGGACAATTTGACCACGAAGTCCCTGTCGTCAACTATTCAGTCAGTCAATCGGTTTTTCCTGCATCAGATATCCCACGATTTTCGATTGATGTTTCCACATTCTGAAGAACTAGACCATACACTCTCAACTGATGCGGTCGAGTCAATCCGCTGTATGCTCTGCCGCAACGAGACAGTACGACCTGGAAACGCATTTGTCAATGAGCTAAACTATCCCGCGATCGACCCCAAGCAGGCACGGCGCAATGCTTCCTATCGATTCCCTGATATACTCAAATCTAGCATTGAGCGCGAAACCCAAAATAGGGGTTGGTGCAGCCACTGTCGCCGCTATCAGCAAGTTTCTATCCGAAAAACGGTTCACCGGATGCCTCTGGTTTTGATGATAAATGCATCCGTAAATAACCCGAACAGCCGACAATTATGGAGCACGCCTGGGTGGCTCCCCGAAGAGGTTGGGATCATTCTTGAAGATGGCCGCATACAATGCTTCGAAGGCGAGGAGCTTATAACACGCAGAAAGAATGGTGCACCCGGCCTTATAATATACGAACTGGTAGGGCTTGTGGTTGAAATTGATATCCCGGAACACCACAAGCCACACTTAGTTTCTTTCATAAACGTCGCAATATCTTCGCGTGATGTGAACGACAAGAACCGATGGCATCTTTTTAACGATTTCCTCGTGACGGAAGTTAGCCGAGAGGAGGTGTTTTCATTTAATCAGTCTTGGAAGTCGCCTTGCAGTTTGGCTTACCAAGTCCAGACTGCCCGACACGGCGTGGATGATTCTTGGAAAAGTGAACTTGATACCACTCTGTTGTTTTACGAGTGGTCTATGAAGTGCGTTTCGTTATATTTTTATTTTTTTTGGTTCTATTTCCCCCTGCGGATTTACCACCCACGCATTCATTTCCTCTGTCGCTGTTACCGTTATTCTTCTCTAACCTACCTACAGTAATTATCGCCCAACGGAGGCCTGCCGAGTGCTGCAACCTGATGAAAAGCCCTCCACAGGAACCCCAGTTGCTCTCGATACCGAATTTGTGGACTTAGAGAAGGCAGAAATTGAGGTCAAAGCAGATGGAACCCAGGAAATCGTTCGCCCAAGTAAAAGCGGACTTGCACGTGTTTCTGTCATCCGAGGCTCTGGCACCGCCGAAGGTGTCCCGTTTATCGATGATTACATCACCATAAAGGACCCAATTGTCGATTATGTCACGCAGTATTCAGGGATCAAACCGGGCGACTTGGACCCACGAAGCAGCTCCCACAATCTTGTTCCTTTAAAAGTTGCATATAAGAAGTTATGGCTTCTTTTGAATCTGGGCTGCATTTTCGTCGGTCATGGTCTGGCTTCCGATTTCCGTAAAATCAATATCCAAGTTCCTAAATCACAAACTGTGGATACTCAGTATTTGTTTTTCCACCCGTCAAAAAACCGTCGCCTGAGTTTACGATACCTTGCATGGGCTGTTTTCAAGGAATACATCCAGGAGTCCACCACATCTACCACTTCGCCTGAACCTGCTCAAGCTGCCCCTGTCAACGTTACCGCGAATACATCTAGTTCTGAAGGTCATGACTCAATCGAAGATGCTCGCATGGCCCTGCGACTCTGGAAAAGGTTCCAAGAATACGAGGATGCGGGTATTGTATCGCAAATGCTTGAAGAGATATTCCGCGAAGGCTTTAAGCTGGGTTTCAAACCCCCTCCACGGAATTCCCCTAATTCTAACCCCGCTACGACTGTGCCGGGAGCTGCTATAGCCCGACTTCCTGTCAGTGGGCGCAACACACCTGACGTAGCAGTAGTCGGAGCTGGAACGCTTAGCTCAGGCGGGAGTGTGAATGGTAGTACACCGTCGACGCCGCGGCAATCATTCAGGAGATCTTCCGCCCTCACTCCTAGCAATGGTAGTTTCACAGGAAACACTAGCAAGATACCGGACATTTTTGGAGGTAGCCCTCTGCGATGAGCCTTCTTCCAGATAAATGCTGCGATTTGAAAAATCACGTGTCATTATAAATAATAATACCGTTTCTGGTCGAACAATTTGCAAAATTGGAATTTTTATGGCAGGATCTGAGAGCCCATCGAACTCTTGGCATTCGTTATTCAGGGGTTTGTTTTTTTATATATAATCAACGATTGGTTATATGCAACTTGCTGCTCGCTATGTACGTATGGCTAATATACACGCACATTTAATGAATTATGAATTATCTAAGGACATCCTAACATGCCCGTAAACTGTCTATCTCACGTTTCACGCATACCTACTTATCTTAGTACTTTATCCGATTCCACATTTGCGATACCGCCTGGGAAGCTACTCTAGAACATTTCTCAAACATATTCTATCAGCCAAAACTTTTCAAGTGTCCACTCAAGGCACGGGATAGCCAAACCAACGTTCTAACACTCGTTCATATCGGCCTGAAACTCGCATCCCTCTTTTTTTTTTTTTTTTTTTTTTTTTTTTTTTTTTTTTTTTTTTTTTTTTTTTTTTCCCTTCTGGGAGTTGGGGGATTGGTTTCGGGGAGGGTAACAACCTTGCGAAATTGGATACAGCCCAAGTGCAAGTTTTGGAAACTATATCATGTTTTCGGCGCTGCAGACTACCATCTTAGTTTCAGTCTGGGAATAGCCTACAACAGGCCGAAGAGAATAGTCCCTTTGAAGCAGGATTTGGACATCTAGCTTACGACACGCAATCTCTATATATCTTTTTATTTCTCACATAACAGGTCGAAGTCCACTTTATCCACTTAGTCGAACGAACATAGGAAAACTGAAGACCCTAGATGCTCGAGCACAATAGATCAAAGGATGGCTTGTAAGGGAAATCCTGGGAAATGTGAGTTGAAGGGTGCCAGCCAGTATCATTTGGAGAAACAAACAAGGCAACAGACAGCATTTAAATCAGCCCGCCAACCACGCACGCGTTCTTTTCTCAAAGGGAAACGACACTTGCACTTAATACCCCCCCTTCCTCCACAAGGGCCTTGACTACACCCTCTTCTACGGCCTTATCAACTCCAAGAATCATTAATGCCTCGTGCTCTACCTCATACTTATCCCTCGTGTCAGGTTGGCTCATATCCTGACTCTTAGGCTCACTGGTAGCTGCGATTCTCTCGCACTCCAATAGACCTTTTGAGACAGGGGCCACGCCCATAAAGTTGATATTAACGCCTTCCTTCCCCAAGATGCTTCCGACAACTCCAATTTTTCCGGGAGAATCGTAGTTGTGACAAATGAGTAACGTACCATCGGGAACGAAGGACGTAGCAAATCGACCGAGACGAGATATTAATGGCTGAGACTGCGAGCATGTCCCGGATATGATTTGCTGCTGCCCGGGGACCGCTTTTGGTGCAGGCACGGAACTTGCAACATCAGGCGGTGGACGGGAAGATGCGCGCGAGGGCGGGTGGGCCACCAGTGTGATGAGAGAAGAGTAAGAATGCGATGCTGGATCGCGGGAGAATCGCTCGTTGACAACAATGCCACGTTCCTTTGCAATGAGCTCTGCGTTGACGATATTTACGTTGACGCCCGCCGTGCTACTAATCGGAGCAATGAGCCCCTTGATCAGAGCTGCAAAGAGGGGTTTTGTATTATTAATCCCAGAAATCTCCCCTTCGTAGATCATGTCAAATGTGCTGCTATTTGCCGTAGATGTGGCGGCAGATGTGAAATGCTGGATATATAGGCTCCCCATTTTCTCTACGAGATGTACAAATGGTTGGAGCTTCTTGTATACTTCCGGCAAAATCAAGGGCGCATTCACGGCACTTCGAGGGAGGGCACCGCTCAATATCTGGAGAACCTGTTCGCAGACATCAATGGAGACATTCTCCTGTGCTTCAACTGTAGAGGCACCAAGATGTGGGGTCGCCAAAACACGGGGATGGGCAATGAGTTTTGCGGCACTGGAACCAATAGCTGGAGGCTCTGATGTAAAAACATCAATTGCCGCTCCAGCCAAATGGCCTGATTCTAGGGCTTCGAGAAGAGAAGTTTCGTCAAAAGTTCCGCCACGAGCGACATTTAGTACACGAGCGCCTCTTTTCAACTGCGAAAGCTCTGCGGATGATATCATTCCCCTCGTTGATGCGATCAAAGGTGTATGAATCGTGAGGAAATCTACTGTCGGCAGCAGTGCATCAAGGGAAGGTAGAAGGTTCACAGACGCGGATTCTGCAACCGCAGCAGAAGCATAGGGATCGACAGCATTCACCTTCATCCCTAGCCCTTTGGCGAGTCGCGCAACTATCAAGCCAACTATAAAGAACACACCGTATGAGGAATTGCTCTCTCAGGGGGTTTATGTTCAAAATTGGATCAATGCAGCTCGTACCTTTTCCCAGGCCGATAATTCCTAGGGTCTTCCCTTTAACTTCAACACCCACTAATCGACTCCTTTCCCATTTCCCATCTTTGAGGCTTGAGCAACCATTAGGGATGTTTCTGGCCATGGAAAGCATCAACGCTATCGTATGCTCGGCAGCAGCCCCAACATTTCCGGAGGGGGAGTTTATGACCACGATCCCAAGTTTGGTTGCAGCAGCAACGTCTATAACAAAAGGGGGGTCAGTGGTGTTCTGTGTTCTTCGAGACTACATGAGATATTGGACCGTTTGGATGGGAGCATTGCATAACCAAGTTGACTATTCCTCGGAGGGACCAAAAAAAAAAAAAAAAAAAAAAAAAAAAAAAAAAAAAAAAAAAAAAAAAAAAAAGAAAAAGAAAAAGAAAAAGAAAAAAGTAAATGCGTAGGATGAAGAGAAACGGAGTAGCTAAACAGAAGAATATAAGAGTCATTCTCACCAACGTTATCAACACCAACGCCTGCTCTCCCAACAACCTTCAGATTCTTCCCCGCCTGCAACACCTCCGCAGTGACTTTAGTCTCCGAACGTACAAGCAATGCTTGGTAGTCGGGGATGATTTTCACCAACTCGTCCGGGCTGAGGTCCGTCCTCTCGTGAACATTCAGGGTAGATTTGAGCAGTGACAGGCCGTCAGGAGACAACTTCTCTGGGACCAGCACTTTAGCTCGCACCGCATCATTTGAGAGTAGAGGCATGGGGGAAACGGATAGATGGATGAATTGAATAGATCTTTTAAGTGGGATTGATTGACTGACTACCCTGAGAAACAGAAATATGCTATGCTCAAAATGTAGATACTTATTTTCGACGCTGACAGCAGCAGAAGTGGAAGAAATGGAAGATGGAAGAAAGAGAGAGAGAGAGACAGAGAGATCACACAAACAAACACACGCGCATATATATATATATATATATATATATATTAATATTATCTTGTACTGTACTTTTTTAACTTACTTACCTCTCTGCATAACCATCCTCCGGCCTAAACAGCTCAGCTTCTCCTCATTTCCGGAAAGGCGCACAGCCCCATGAATCCGCGAAAAGCTTTAGGTATAAGAACAAGAACACACTAGGGAGAGGGGGAGAGGGGGATAGGAGGGGGGGGACAATTCAGTGCCACAATGCATGCATCAGTATTCAATCTCTAGCCAGCCGGAAATTCAATATTCAAACAATTCAACAAGCCAACACCCAATCGCTCACAATCTCCCCGGAGTAAGTTAACTGCCTTAGGCACAGCACAGTCCGGGGTATTATTGGGCGCAGCGAATGGGCTAGTTGGACGTTCTGCCGTCCCCTTGTGAACCCTGCCTGATAGATAAGAATTTCTATTAGTTAACCTGATTTGTCTCATTTTGGTTTGGAACCGTTTCTTCCAGCAGTGGAGTGGGCTTTCAAGGTGAAATCGGAACTGGGGGCCTGGAGAAGGGCTGGGAGGTCGGCTTGCATTATTTAACTCCCAGTTCGATGTAGCTACTGTAACTTGGAGGGTGAGTATTGAGGAATGGCCCTTCAAATAAGCTAATCGTCTGGAGTTGAATGAAACCTTAAGAGGGCAAGTTCCTCTCAACTGAACTGGAACAAAATGTTAAATTTCCAAGCAACAGGCTGTAGGCATATCCTGCAACTACGTTCAAACTTCCAGCACACCGTGTCATCAACCTATGTTCTCCTAAACTTATCGATGAGTAGTCTGAAGACTCAATAAGTAAGCAACGACTCCTCCTCGCAAGGTCCGAATGTTGCATGAATGTGACGCCAGCCTTATGCTGAAGGATTGAGTCAGGCCAGACACCAACCACGGTTGACGACTTGAAGCCAATTTTATCCCCCTTGATATTAGTCCCCAGCGACGAATCGAGTTTCCAGGCGTAGCCGCCGGGATACAGCACGGGTATCCGTTACTGTTGGGCATAGACAGGCAGAGGTTATTTGTACTGGGAAAAACTCCGGGAACTAAGTTTTTGCTGTTATTACTAACTCGACATTCTTATTCTAATACATGTAGTTTGCAGTCCAATGGTTTACCAGGAATGTATTGGAAGAAAAAGGGGGAAAAGAAAAGAAAAAAGAAAAAAATACGGTATGGGAAAATGAAAAGCAATAGAAAGTAACTTAGATCATACAGGAAGCTTACTTCTTATAGCCTACTAATACTCCATCGATTCCTCGAAAAGCCTTCTCAGTTCTTCTTTCTCCGCACCCAGTTCTTTGCTCAGGCTGGGGGCCAGGTTCAACACGCGCTGCTGTGGAATAGTCCCCTCGATCAGGTCGTCCAGATTGCTAGAGTTGAACCCAAGCTCCTTTAGCCCGCGTGGTTGGTCTCCAAGCCCGATCAGGAACTCAGCCACTGCTTCACCCAGCACCTCACCGGCGCTCTCTCTTTTCATATTTGAAATGTCCACCCCAAAAGCTTCCGCTGCAGCAAGGTGGCGGTCCGGGTTGCTGGCCGCCGTGAACTTGAAAACAGCTGGCGCAGTGACTGCAACAGACACGCCGTGGGGAATGATATCGTGGCCCACAGCATATCCTGGGTGCTTATATCCCGGATTCTGTCCGGAGATGGGGTAGCTCATCCCGTGGCAGAGATGGACACCGGCATTCCCGAAGCCCACGCCAGCCAGCGTTGCAGCGAGAAGCATTTGGCTTTGGGCTTCAGTGTCATCTGGGTTCTTAACAGCACGAGGAAGATACTTGACCGTACTACGTAGCGCTTGCAGGGAGAAAATGTCCGAGATTGGGTTTGCACCCTGGTAGGCGGGACGGTTGATTGGGTTGGTTGGTCTCGGCGTTCTCTCGTTGTAGGGAATCGCGGTCCAAGACTCCAGGGAATGGCAGAGGACATCCAAACCGGAGGAAGCATGAACTTGCGATGGCATGGTTCGTGTGTTGAGAGGATCACATATGCCCAGCGTAGGCTTCAGGTTTCTGTGTGCAACGCCTGTTTTCGCCTTCTTGGAAACCAAGTCGAAAATGGCGGTACCTGTGGTTTCAGCGCCCGTACCGGCAGTGGTGGGCACGGCGATCAGAGGTTTGAGTGTCCTCGTAATTGGCAATCCTTTTCCAAGGGGGGCGTTTACGAAGTCTAGGAAGTCGGCTTCCGGATAGATACAATATAGATTCATGAGTTTCGCCGTGTCGATGACGGACCCGCCACCTAAAAAAATCAGGGATACGGTTGGGTTAGCTAGAAGGGCCAACAGTAGTTAACTGCTTTTTTAATTCACTTTTATATATATATGAAACGTACCTACGGCAAGAAATGCATCAGCGTTGTATGGTTTCGCAAAGGCAATGGCATCTTTGATTCTATTTCAGGCAACGACCCGTCAGCAACGTATTTTCCACTTATTTTCCACCTACTACCAAGTTAGATCCTCAGGGGACAACGGAACGTTGGAGGATTACAAAACTCACGAATAATCCTTTGGCTCAACGCGAACTTTATCATATACGGTAAATTCCACGCCTTCTTTCGTCAGAGCCTCGATTGCGTGCTTCATGGGGTCTAACTTGGCGATATTTGAATCCGTCACGATACAGACACGCTTAGCGCCCAAGTTTTTGAAATCCATGCCAACCTCCTTGGTGGAACCTGGCCCAAATCGGATACTCGAGGCGGCCATTTCAAAGGCATATTCCTTCTGGTGGGAGGGATCGATGGGGGTTGCAAGATTGCGGACATGCTTGGATATGGGGGAGGCATGGCGATGGTGGTGGTGATGCGCAGGGTTGGAGTGGCAGGGACATGTTGGAGGGTGAGTGAATTGGACAGTCCGGAGGAGATTGAGAGCCCTTGAAGCGGCAGATGGAGCTATTCTTATAGAGGGGAGGCTCATGGTTGCGGTTTGTTGATAGGGAGGAGAAGCGGAGGTATTATCTGGGGGAAATCGGGCTTTCAATTGACGAGGAGGGTTGTAAGGATGATGTCAAGGAAAGAGAATGAGAAAGGAAACGACAGAGATCATAGAAGATTGAACATAATGATTATTATTAACATGTATACAGTATCCTTTTGAAGCTGACCATGTCTGGAGCAGCGATGAAGTTGTTGCGGGGGGAAAGGGTTTGCGGTTCGGCAAACATCCCGTCGGCTCGGAGCAGGGGGGGGTTATTTAGCCGAGCGCGAGTCGGTGCAGTCGAGCAGAGGAAGAGGAGTGCAATTTATATAGGGTTAAACGTCAATACTACTACTATTAGTCAATTAATTATTGTTCTGTACGGAATATAGAGGAACAAACTACCATCAATATCCACTTTGTATTATTGAATAGCATGCTGCGTTGACCGGCAACCATTGTAACCTAACTACTCCGTACAGGCCTTTAACTACTAAAGAGCTTAAGTTAACTAACTTAGTTAAACTAAATAACAGGCTAGTTAATGGTGATGACGATGATCCATGGACAATAATAATAATAAAGTTAATAATAGTAATAATGAAATGCCATCCTCCCGCTTCCTTTCCGTCAAAGCCCCCGCCCGACGCCAAACTGCTTCCATATATTCTATTTCTTCCATTTTTGTTCAACAATAGCGGATTCTCTCTTTTCTGCTCTGCTTCTACACCAACTCTCCGGCCCCATTACTTTGTTCTGCTCTTCATAATAAGCCCAGCTGGGTTAGTTAAACTAACTATTCCCCCCAATGATGTCATTTTCTCTTTTTGGCACTGACATCCGCACGTTGATATCCGTATATCACTGCGACAGAAATCATGGCGACAGACACTTCCACATACAAATTGAACCGTATGATATGTCCCCATTATTGGTCTTACTGGTGCTACTGGTGCTACTGCTGCTGCTTCTACCTCCTCGAGGGCTGCGCTGACTGATCTTTGTCCCTTTATTAGATTCTATGCTTCGGGTGAAGGACCCAAAGAGATCAGGTACCTACCCCCATTTGACTCCCTGTCTCGTCTCCGTGGTGATAGGTTAACAAAATCTAATACAATCGTTGTTTGTTGTGTGTGACTAGTTGAATTTTACGAGTTCCTCGGCCTCTCCCTCATCAACAAGATCGATTTCCCCGAGAACAAATTCTCCCTCTACTTCCTGGCATACAACGGCCCCCAGTCCCTCTCGGGTTCAAACCACTGGTCGGACAGGAACGGCGTCGTCGAACTTACTCACAACTACGGCACAGAGGATGACCCTTCGTACGCAATCACGAACGGCAACACAGAACCACACTGCGGATTCGGTCATCTCGGAATCTCCGTTGATAATCTCGAGCTGGCATGTAAACGCCTTGAGGATGCCGGGTATGTGTTCCAGAAGAAGATTGGCGAAGGGAAGACCCAGAACCAGGCCATCGTGAAGGATCCAGACGGATATTGGATAGCTATCAGTTGGAAACACGAAACGGATGCAGCCGTTGGACAGTCGGATCCATCCACCTATCGGCTGAACCACACTATGCTCAGGGTCAAGGACTCTCAAAAAAGTTTGAAATTCTACCAGGAAGTTTTAGGCATGACTCTTGTCCACACGGCCGAGCTTGAGAATGGGGAAGGGAAGCGGTTTTTACTCGCCTATCCCGCGTCCAATCCGTCGCTCCAAGAGGGCACTGCCAATCCCACCGCGGACTGGGAGGGTTTGGTGGAATTGACATGGATTTACGGCACAGAAAAGCAGGAAGGGAAGGTCTATCATGATGGCAACGCAGAGCCTCAGGGTTTCGGGCATATCTGTACGTGATTTAAGATTAAGATATTCAATCCCCTTCCTCCCCCTCCCCCCCCCCCCCCCCCAAAAAAAAAGAGAGAGAGAAACCTCATGAAGGCCTAGCCAAAAAAGCTAATCAATTTCCCTACCGTGCAGGCGTGTCAGTGGACGATCTAGACGCTGCGTGTGCTCGTTTGGAGGAGCAAAAAGTGGCCTGGAAAAAGCGACTGACAGACGGGCGCATGAAGAACGTAGCCTTCGTGCTTGACCCAGACGGATACTGGATCGAGATCATCCAGAACGAGAAGTTGAAAAATCGAAGTAATTGGTAAAGAGGTCGTGGGATGAACTCTCAGCACTTCCCCGCGTTAAATACCTCAGCAGGCGGCGTGTTTGCCTCGCAGCATTTGGAGGCGGCCTGACTACTCCGTACACAGTAAATAAACCCTTGACCCCTGGCTTGTATGGCCGCGCAAGATGATGGGGAATCTAAGAATAAGTCAGCTAGTTTCATAGTTAACTAGCTAAAACCAATTCGATTAAACTAATATGCACAGACTGATGAATGTATTAGTTATTATTATTAACTAGTTATGATGTTTTATTTTGTAAGCTCAAGAGGCAGGGAATTGGTCGTGTGAGGCGCCTGGCTGAATGGATATCCAACCCCCACGGAGGAAGAAGAAACCAACCATATTAATAAATATCCCATATCATATCAGGCTCTAATAAGTTAGTTAACTAGTAACTAACTAACTAGATGACGGGCTTCTTTTCTTTTTCTTTTTTTGCTTTTATATTTCCCCGCGGAATATTATAGTGACTCGAACTGACCAAGTGACAAACCAACCTGCAATCTGGTTGGCTCCCTTCGTAGTTATTTTACTGCGTATAGCGTAGTTATAGTATTCGCCTCAAATGCTCTCGCTAGCTAAAATAATATAATAAATAATATTAAACTAAAAATCCTCAAAGTTCCAACCACGCAGATAATAAATACGATACGCTGCACCGTTATGTTATATCATAAACAACGACGACCAACAAACCCTTCTCAAACACATGATTTTCCGTGTCCCTTAGCGCATTAGAAGGCCCTCCAGGTATGGTTATTTTTTTATTTCTTTTTCGTTTCTTTTTCCTTATCCCCAGTTTCCGTCCGACACGTGCATGCATGCGACTCCATTTCTTACATTTCCCTGCAAGCCGATTTTACCACTCAAGCCGCCCTTATTAGTTAGTTATGGCTTTAAATCCCCAGACAATGAATGGGCTGTCCTGTCCGGCCGTGTCATTTGCCCACCTTTTCCCTCCAGCGGCCCCAACTATCTCTTTGCTTTTTCTGTTGTTTCTTCTGCCAGCCCTCTCGTATTTTTTGCATGGGTTTCTTGTGGGACAGACAAATGCTGCGTGACGGATGCTCCGAGCATATATCTATATATCTCTGTGTCTGCCATCCCATCCGCAAACACTCCCCAAGCAGCATGTATCCGCAACGAGCCATGCTCCCCCTCATACAGACCCCCCCCTGTGATCTGAACTTGTATCTGTCGCGACTCTTCCTGCGAACATGTCGATAACCGAACTAGATACAGGCGCCGGCACCAGCGATACAGATTCGTACCACTGCTTCGAAGACCCGTTCTTCGTCCCTGTATGGGAGAGAAGTCACGTGAAGTGCGCGCAGAATCTCCTCGAGTGCGACGGCGAACCCATCGAATACGACGACGAGGAAGAGGACTTTATAGATAACTGTTTCTTCTTCCCCGAAGACTGCTCCTGCTCTTCGACCAAGACATCATCGACCTTCAGCACTGATGTCACTGACCCCGAACTCGACGATATCAACCCTGCCGAGATGATCCCAGAGCTGCCGGGCATCAAAATGCTGGACACGGAAGCCCTGACCAACCTGCTAGAGGATAACCTATGCCCCCCAGAGATTACCTCTATTATGTTAGTTCCCTCTTATATACGTATATATGTATATGTATAACATTTATTTGTATTCGAGAGAAAAAGAATCCCCTCCTCATCAGGTCATCACGTAAATCTGGAGTGTCTCGGCACTGATAAAACCTGCATAGGATATTCGCTACAAATGGGGCCATTTTCGCGCATGCCTCCTCACTTCCTGCACGCAAACTACGAAACCTGAGCGCGACATACGGCGCCGCGTATTTATCATATGCAGTAAATGCCCCCGCTGGTAACCTGACTGGCGTTAACCCCTCCAGCCATCCCTCATCATTTGTAACAACACCCTCCGTGCCATTAGGCGATGTTGGGTCGATAGTCTTCGAATTCGAAAACCTAGCCGCGGTCGTCACCAAAATCGCAGACAAAGTCCTCCTCGCTGTCGTAGGTCCCAGCCATATTAACCCACCGCAGGACCAGCAACAGCCGCCCCCATCCTCTAATGGTGATGGACGCGACCGCGCACCGCCTGGGTCTGCAGCAAGCGATACAGAACGAGCCACCGCCGGAGCCGAATCCTACTCAACAGCATTCGACAGCCACCCGATGGACCACCCTAATCCCACGAGTCTTGCATCATCAGCACCCAACCCAACCTGTACACCAGCAGCAGCGCTGCACGAAAGGGTAGCCTCAGCAGCAACAGCAGAACGTCCTCTAACACCTGCTTATAACGACTCGGACGCGGCGCTACAGCTGCAGTGGGAAATCGACCGCAGCAACGACCTAGACCGCCTCGCGAGTCTGAATCTTGACTCGTCGCCTGCAGTGCTTCTGGCCCTGGAATCCAAGTCCGCTGCCCTGGGGAAGTTCCTGAGTAACAAGCTACAGGATCTTGAGTATCCGGATGATTTCTGATTGCTATCGCTTGCTTTAATTCTTCTCGGCTCACTTTTGATATTTCGTGTTTGCATTTTGCCGTCTCGTTCATATTGCACCCAGTTCATTTCTGTTTTATCTATGTGCCGTTACAGCGTATTTCCTTTTTTTTTTTTTTTTTTTTTTTTTTTTTTTTTTTTTTTTTTTTTTTTTTTAAATAAACATTGTCCGAAACAAATACCACGTCCAGCTTTTCTGACATATTTCAGTTAATAAATCATTTTCTCACTCCTCTTTTTACTTCTGGTATGATTGAAACTTCCCGTGGACTACGCATAGCATAACTACGGCTTTCTTTGTTTCCGGCGTATTGTATTCTATATCTCTGTTTATTTATTTGGGCGTTGGAGAAGGAGCTTTCAAGTATTAAAACCTTAACGAAAGGGTATAGTTATTTTTAAGCTAAGTCAAAACTACGAATGAGAGTTAATTCATTATAAAAAAATATCATCTATCCCTGGTCCGCCGCCTCCATTCAAACTAGGCAGCCCTATGTGTGGACGTAGCAAACTGTTGAACTAGTAGTGAGAAAACAATCGTAGGTATCCTCGAAACGAAAAATGGATGTCCGAAAGTCCAAGGAGATATCATGAGTGTGAATATAGAAAAAAAAAAAAAAGCAAACGAAATCCGAGATGGATAAATGGCGTAAGTGAATATGTGTATGTATATGTTGCCATGTTTTCAAAACGCTCCGCTCCTCACATTATCCTGAAAAAGCCGCAGAGGGGAGTAAAAACAAATGAGTAAAAAACATAGCGCAACAACCTAAACAAGAAACTGAAGGAAGTAGTGAATGGAAAAATCGGTCCGTCCCTCATCAATGCAAGTAGTGAGACTAATATATATATAGATATATAGATATAAATATAGACTGCGATATGATCATAGTCTACCCGCATCCACTAGCGGCGCTATGGTCCCCTCTTCTTGCTGTGATGTTGCCGCGGTAGGTGCTGGGGGTATTTCCGTCGTCTCTGCAGCTGGTTGAGCTACAGGCGGAGGAATCCCGTGCGCACCACTTGTAGTCCTACTCACAGCTGGGCTCGTGGTCTGACTGACCGCCCCAGAGCCCGACCCAGGCCCAGACCTGTTAGCCAATTTGGTAAGAACATCGAGCCAATCTTCCGCGATTTCCTTGGAATGGGCCTTGAAAGTGAGTTCAGTCGTCGTGGAGAATGCCTGTCCGACCTTGCCGCCTGAGACGTCTTTACCCTTAATGGTGAACTTGACGCCATCGCCGCTACCGATGGAGCACTCGGGAATATAGAGCGAGATGTCCGCTGTTGGCTCCCGGTTGTAATCATCGTTGTCTTTGAAACCGTGTAGGTACCCGGCTGGGGAAATAGCGTAGTAGCCTGGGCTGTATCCCTTGATCATTGCGCGGGATTTTCTCTCGAGTGTGCCTTCGATTAGCGCTTTGGTGGCGGAGTGCGCTTGGTTGGGGAAGATGGCGTCGGATATGGTACGGGCAGGCTTGTCGGGGTTGATCAGGATTTCTTCATTGCGCACGGAAAAGTTCATCCATTCGAAATTGTCGGGGATTTGCTGCGCTGTGTCGACCATGTTTGCATACAGTTTGCCTACGCTGCCAGAGTGGGCTCCCATGCAGTTGGAAAACTGGAGAAGTGCAGCCTGCATCGTTTTAACAATATGGGATTCGAAAAGTGAAAGGGAATTCTGAACCTGCAGCATCTCCTCCCGATAATTGTTTTCTTCGGCCACCTGTCTGTTCATGCGGTGACTAGTGCCTCTCCGCAAAATGTAGGGATCGTGCGCAGGCTCTAGCTTGCCTCCGACGTCAAAAGCAGCTGTGTATTTCCCTAGCATTTCAATATGTTTGTGGGTGGCAGCAGTGGCTTTCCTGACCTGCTTTGCACACTTTTCGGCACCATGTTCGACGCCTTCGGCCTTGGATTTGATCTCTTGATGAAGCTGCTTGAGAATCGGGAGAACGAGGTTTTCCAAGTTCTTCTCCGTGTCCCGGTGTAAATCCACGATTGCCTGTCGCAGGACGCTGTTAGAGAAAAAGGCTTGGAGAAATTGACACTGCAAAGGCTAAGTGCTTCAAAAATGGATAGACTTACCCCGGTATTGGTGCGTAGGTTATCAAAGAGACCAACGACACCTCCCTTGCCCTCGCTGAAATGCGACGCGTCCTCCAGAGGTTCTGGTAAGGCCTAATGAGAGGGAAATCAAATGAATCCAGAAGATTAGCACTCAGCGACCTTTCCATGCGTCACTAAACAACCAGCTGACAGGCGAGCGGGGGGTCTACCTTCAGAATCTTTCCAAATTCTTTCGACTGGGACTCGTGGGCTTTGTGGGTCGCAGTAATGTAGTTTTCGAGGTATCCGCACACATGTTTCCAGGCCTGTAGCCGGTTATATAGAACTTTGGAACTGTTCTGGGTAAGGAAAGAAAAATCCATCGGTTAGCCTATCTTTCTCCGATCTCAATCCCTAATAGCAGAAAAATTTACTGGGGGATCCTACACTCATATCGGCCTCGAGAGCAGGATCATCATCACTTTTGGCGGTATTCGTAGTCGAGACAGTTTTAACGGTAGAAGACCGCCGCGGTAGTTTTGTCAAAACCATGATGGGCAGCGTTCTGGTGACAGTTATATAGGAAGTGAAAGGGCTTGTTCGGTAACTGGCGATATATACCCAAAGACCGGCTGAAGGCAAAGTTGCAGCAACAGTTGCTCGTTAAAATTGCTTCCAAGAAAGCAGCAGGGTCCAATTGTCGGTATCATGAATGAAGAATAGTGTTTCAATGACCAAAAGCGACGGTGGATGATGCCGAATTTCCTCTCTCACACACAAAGAGAGAATCAAAGGGCCGGTGTGGTTGAGGATGGATGTGGCGGGGTGGAGAGACTACAAGGCGCAGAGGGGGAGGGGTATTTTGAGCTTGGCGGTCAAAACATACGGAGTTGAGAGGGGCAGCGCAGGAGTGGCTAGTTTGCGGACAAAAGAGACAAAGAATAGAAGAATAATTAATCTTATCGTATATAAACTTGAATAATAGGACAAGGTCTGAATGTCTGAATGCAGCGCGAGTGAGAATAGCAGACAACTGGGATTTCGGCTGAGGTCAATGTGATGTCACGCCTCGGGATGTCAGATGAGTCAGCAAGGAAGTGGCAGGGACCAGATCTCTAGTCTAGACATCCATGGATATGTCATATGTGTGTAGTGTAGGGACGGATCATGTATAGTCCCCCCAATCGCAACGTGCAAGGGCAAAGGCGTTTCAAGTTCTGTATCCCCTCTTCCTGGGCAGAGCCCAGCTATTCAAGTGGCAAGTGTTGCATTGCTGAAACAGGGAGACCAGTTTTGTTCAACAAGAACTCGATCACAAATCTCAGGGCAAAATCCATCCAACCACGTTCTAACCTCAAACAGGGACATGTTAATAGGAAACAGAGAAAAGAAATTCAGAGGGGAGGAGGAAAAACGGGTCCAATGATAAAGTGATGAGAGAGAAAGGAATTTTATCTAAAAACCAACAACACCAAAGAAAAAAACAAGATGAAACTCCCCATGATCCTGTCCTGTCCCAACTTCCCGCCAAAAGTAGTGTGTAAAATTGTTATAGCCCAACCAACACCGTCTATGCAAATAGGCACATCCTAGCAAATGTATAAAAAATATATATATAAAGAAAAAGGAGAAAAAACAAGTCCCTCCTGCCGTGGCGTAATGATGGATAAATAGATTAGATGGTACATAAGAGAGGCGTAAATATTCGTTAATGTGTATAATGTGTATAGTTCGGCAACGAAACAATGGCATAATGATTATGTATGTTTATACACACAATCACCAAAAGCCTAGAGACTCAACGCATACTATGAAAGTTGAGCGATGCTCGACCGTCACTATATATCGTTGCTATGGCTCCGATCGTGAAGCCGGAACAGTGATCGATGTCTCGTGTCGCTGGTTAGCAAGGGACGATGGGAAGGACTGGGTCGCATGGGAGTTATGGAAACACCTCTAGCATCTCCAGCAGTAGCCGATTGGTAGTCGGGTAGGCCTTCGTTGGAATGTGGTGAGGGATGCGATCGAACTGCAGTGGCGTAACTGGGGACGCGCGAGAGGTGCTCGACTTCACTAATTTGCGAGCTAGGCGTAGCCACACCCGATGGAATGTCGTCGTCCTCAGATAGCCGCCGTGAGGAGGTCGCGGTCGCAGGTGTAATAATCCCAGGACTCTGGATGTTAATGGACGGTGTACTATCCTCCGAATTCACCAGCTGGGATTCTTGGCTTGATGAGTCTGTCGCTAATTCAGCGGATTCCGAGGGCGGGGGGGTAAATGGGAATGTGGCAGCGCCAAGATGCAGGTTGTTTAGTCGGGTGTGTAAAGCAGTTGGTGAGATATTCTGAGATTCCGAGGCTACCACGGCGTTGATGTTATCTATTGAGAGATTTCGACTAACGGACGAGAAGGGTGTGCCAGGGCGACTGCTATTGCCAGGAGTCCGATAGCCAGAAAAATCTATTTCGCTGTACAGCTGATCGAATCGATGCTCTCCATACAGAGGAGGCGCCTGCTGTGCCATCGTATGGATAACTCGCTGCGCGGAGTGCACGGATTGATCAATTAGATCATTGTTATCGCCGATGGGGAGGTTGGGAGAAATAAATATCGAAACAGGAAGACTAGCACGTAGCTATGACTCGGGAAGCCGCGCTGTTAGCTTTATACCTTATACATGGAAGAATATATGCTGAAAGACGCATTGAACAAATTATTAATATACCTCAGACATATGGCGGTCCGGATTGCGAAGCTGGACTCTAAACTTTAGCTTGTGTTTGATTCTTATACCTCTCGTATCGGCGTCTTGTAAGCATTTGTTGAGTGACTTTGGTAGGTTCAAGATTCGGGAAAACTCAAATCCATCGGCATCTCTGTTAAGGGAGTGAGATTTTTCCAGTTGATCCAATGTGCAGATATCTTCAAGGATGACTTTAGTCCATTTGTGGGACAATTGGGCGGCTTCGTCGTCGTGGGGGTTTAAAACGAAGTCGTGGTTCTCTACTAGTTGTGTGGAAATAGTACCGATAGTGAGTCCCTTTAGCAATGGTATAAGGCGAAAGTCCACCTGCACGGAGGTTCCGAATATAAGTGCTTTGGAAGGGGTCGAGATTGAATATTCGATCTTATTCGGCCATATATTCTCCACAGACTATCACGGAAACGGTAAGCTCGAGCAACACCACGGGACATATAAAAAGGGGTCGCATCAAAGTCATTGTACCGGTTGGTGTTCACAGTTAGTACATACCATCGCATGTGAAAGCTCCAGAGCGCTTGGGTCAAGGGTTCGAATAATCCTCAATGGTTTCCGTAGAATTATATCCTTGACGTATTTCCGACCAATCTCGGCTTTGAATCGATAAGTAATGAAGGTGTCACGCAGCCCTTCAATGCTTTCGGGGAGGGATCCCGCGAGGATGACATCAAAGGGAAAGTCGTAATTGCCCGCGGGCAAGGTTTCCAGTTTGTTTTTGCCAGCATCTCTAAATGTCCATGTGTGATCAAAAAACCTATTTTCCCTCGAAGACTTTCTGCGACTGCTAGAACCTTGGAGCCTGTTGATATGACTCAGCCCATTAGCATCCACCCGTTTTCCTTTGGTGTATCGCATAAGGGGGGAAAGATAAAAGCTTACAGGATTTTCGACATGCCAGTGAGGTGAAGTCTGAGATATTTGATTTGCAGGGGCTCTGAGAGGCAAAGGAGTAGTTTGCCATTCAACAAGGTGCTGGCGGCCTCGTGTTCATTCCCGCGAAAAACGATATAATCGTGATCTAGTCTGTGGGGAATTGGTGTCAGCGTTTCGGTGCGCCAGAAAAGAAATTGGGGGAAGGGAAGGAAGAAGAAACAATGGGGTCAAACCAACCTGATATCAAAGTACTTTGCCTGACTGGCGGTCCCGCCACTAGTGAGGAAACTGAGGGCCATGGCAGCACAAGACAGGATGGAGAAAAGCTCGAGGCTAGAATAACCATAGGGGCAGCGGAATAACGGAAAGCCGAGTGAGATCAAGACAGAGCAAGAGAATAATGGAGAGGAGAGGAGAGAGAGAGAGAGAGAGGAAGGAGAGTATGAGGTATGGTATGTATGGTATAAGGGAAGACGAGCAGAGAGAATTGAAGGAAGCCGGCCATTCATTCAGCCAACTGGTTCTGTCATCTAGCTCAGGCGGAGTGCTAAATTTGCAAACTAAAGGTTTGGACCATCCGGAACTTTTAGACTTATTAGTAGGAAGAGGGGGAGGAGAAGGAGGGATTATTGGTACGTGTACGACGCTATATTGTATGTCCATACAATGTACATGTACATGATACATGTACCTGCCGCTGCGGCCCCTAGGCAGGTCCATGGGTACTGGGTACATGCCACCCGGTGTGAAGCCATGGATTGTTGGAGATAAATATAGAAAGAAATACGAGCGAGAATTACAAATTTCAAGGAAAACTGACGTATGAGGTCAATAAAGTTTGTGATCAAGAGCAAGAGAGCAAGAGACAAATTCCCATTTGCCCTAGCACTAAGTTAACTAACCAAGCAAACAACAAAATGAAAAATGATTGGTGTGCCTGGAGTGAGATCAATCTGGTCTCTGAGAGAATTATTCAAGGACCTCGATAATGTTTTTCTTATTCCCATATTGTTCTCGTAACCTTCCAATAATGAAGGAAATAATATTGTACTGTACGTAACTACGCGGAATGAGGACTGGCTGACACATTATTATTATTATTATTGACACTATAGTTAACTACTAAAACTTATTAACTACTACTTTCAATTATTCTATCGAAATTTTCCACGCCAGACAGACCCCCACGCATTTGTTTGATCTAGTAGTAGCCTAGGCCAAATTCCTTTTTTAAGGTAGTGTATTGTATATAGTTACAGACACTATCCTATCCTATCAGGTCGAAGGTTTGAATCGTAAGTTACTCGTAACTCGTACTCGTAGTTAACTATCTATGTTGCAAAAAAAAAAAAAAAAAAAAGTTTCCAACAACAACAAACAAACACCCCCTTGCACTATCTACACCTATCCTATCTATCTATCCCGATAAAACCCGCTGACGTTTACAGTTCAACAACCCACGGGAGGGGGTGGATCTGGCCCCTTCTTCGGCTTCAGCCTAGAACATTAACAACATATAAGCATTTTGCTGCAAGATGACACAACTGCCGGTTGTGCCGTGCCCAGCCTTCGCCGGCATGGTTCCAGTTTGTGTTGTGACTTTCAAATGTTATAATAAGTACGGAGTACAGCCTCAGTAAGTAGTAGTTAGTAGCTAACTACCTAGGTAACTAACCTTGCAGTCAACAACCCCGTGATTTTTGATTTTTACCGTCCGTTAATACATACCCAATTCGTCCGACCCCCTAACCCAACCCTGCACAGTGGTTAACATATCGACTATAAAATAGAATAAGTTAACTTATACGAAGGCCAAGCCGGCTAGAATCGAACCTTCCTTACTTTGTTGCTTTGGGCACTTTACTAATACTAATAATAATGTATAATATAATATGCAAGAGCGGGGGGGTGAGACGGAAGAATGGCAGAAGATCAAAATTAATTATTATTATTATTATTAACTTACTAAGTGACGAACAGACTTGACTTGTGCAATCACCTCTTCTTCTACCTTGCACGGGTTGCCACTATTATTGGAGCTAGAGAGGAGATGGCCTGACTGATGACCCCTATCTATCTATCATACTATACTTATTATACTTATTAATAACTTGAAAAAAGACAATCCAAAAATCGTAAACTGTTTACAATCCTGCAGTATATTTATTCGTGACAACAGAATCAATCAAAGTCATCCTTTTTTTTTCTTTTCTTTTTTCGTTTTTCGTCTCCTTCTTTTGCCCTGCCGCTCTTCCAGTAGTATAGTATGTTGTATCGCGCCAAAATGACCGTCCTTAAAACAGCTATCAGGGTGTGTCCTTTTCTCATGTAGCCTCACTGCCCAAGCCTCACTGAAGTTATTTGCAACCTACAATCGAACTACGAGCATTTCGAAAGGTGAGGTCATCCATCGTTGTCTTCAGCGCCTCCTCCTGACTGATTGATTCAAAGACGGTGCCGGGATCTCGGTGTGGAGAGGTTGGAATGTGCCAAAGTCTATAGTGTTTTGCGTTGGGATGGCGTTTCTGAGGGACGAATGAACCCCCAGAACTCTACTTGGGAAACGCTACTTTTCAGGCAACTGATCTGGGGAAGAGTTATATCTATCACCTGAGATGCAAGACTTGAATGGTGACGTGACGCGGGGCGGAGAAGATGAATTTTAAAAAGGAGAGGTGAAAAAGAAAAAGCTGTCCAACAAGCCCTTCAAAGTCGCCAAGGGCTATCTATCCTATCTATCATCTATCTATCAATCATGTATGCACTCAAACCCCATTATTAATTGTACTGCTGTATAGAAAACTTTTCCAAGTGCCAACGCTCAAAAGAGGATCGCCTGGAGTTTAGCCTTCCGGTTCTTGGTGTTATGCTGGAACGCCCCACAGCGGCGCGAAATGTGAAGATATGTTTTGTTGAACATGCCGCGGGGCACTTTCTAGGCAGCTTTGCATAACTTCTTATAAATGCTCAACCGTTGCCCCAAGTTTGCTGTTCAATCAAAACAGGGATGTGCCGCTGGATTTTTTTTTTGCTTGTCCAACCAAAAAACCATTTTCCAGTCTATCTATTTTGACCTAGTGAGCCACAAAGCAGTGCTCCTACATATATAATAATACGCTTCGCCGTGCCTTCTTCGAGTTCTTCCGCTCTCATTAATCCATATCCCATAAAAGTCAATGTGGGCCGGAAATAAAATGCTTCCACCATGAGATTTTCCTTCTCTTTCAGCGAAATAAAGTCATAAATCTACTTTCACACCGACGACTTGACAAGTAAATATGACTTCAACCGTTCCCCTAAGGGTAGCCATTTACCAAAACCCGGGCATCAAGCACTGGAGCTTGTTCATCGATGCGGCAGAGACAACTAAAAAGACCATCATTCATCTCCTTGGTGCTCGACGGAAATATTTCATTGAAGTTCGAGCGCGATCGGACGCAAACATTTCGAATTCCCTTATCGAGCTCTGTTCCCTGTGTGAGATTGATACAAGCAATGTCGAGACCGTCAAAATCATCGCACAAGAGACACCTATCCGCAACGAGGTGTCTGATTATAGTTGCCAGGATTTCATCCTCGAGGTTCTGGATAAACTGGAAACGAATGGAGTCATTCCAAATAACGCGGACTACCAGAACAAGAAAAGAATCCTCAAGGAAAAGCGCGAAGCCTGGAAGTAAGCTATACCATCAGTTTTTCTGTCAGATTAGGACATGGTAGAGGTCCCTGAAGAGGCGTCCTTTGCGGGGAAGTTTTCCGTTTTAGATCCTATTTTGTAAACGCTATTCTCGCGAATTCATCGAACTATATCCGTCCTCCAGTTCCACAAAAGGTTGCCCCAAAGGCGGTCAACCAACCAACGCACAGGAAATCGTAAGGGTGAAATGGAGTCTGGCACATAGAGATACCAATCATCGTCAGTCTCAATGCTCTGTCCATTTGACAACGTCGTGCACTCATAGTATTCGGGATAGAAACCACCCTCCTCCCAATCAATAATCCCAGTTACAATATAAGCGTCCGCGTTGCGAGGATCTTTTTCGACCAGGATATTTGTTTTCTTTAAATCACCGTGTGTAAACACTGAACCCCGAAGAGATTTATTTTCCTTCTTCAAAAAGGAGCGAAGTAGCTTGGCGTAGGAAGGGCTTGCACGATGTTTCGCAGAGAATTGCAGCTCATCAAATTGCCATGCTGTGATTATACCCTTTTTGGAAGAAACTTCCATGATACGATAGTCCTTAACCCCTTCCCCACCTACACCTCCTAGCTGCAGTCCATCACGTTGTTGTAAACTTCGGAGTTGAACGAATATCCAGTCCAGCTGTCTCCGAAGAGATAATTTTGCTTCATGGGATAGACTTGGCCATGCCTTGTCAAGGGTGATGCCTGGAATATATGACATGAACATAGCACGGAACGTCCCAAGAGCAACCAGACCGTGGACTCTAGGAATCGGAAGCTCAGCAGCATGGGCAGCAAGGTATTGGAGATTGTGATACTCCGTGAGATCTCTGCTATTAGGGAACACTTTGATTGCAAGCTCATCACCGCACTTGACCACAACTCCTCTAATGCTGAGGTCAAACAACCTTTCCGAATGCAAAATGAGCATTTTCATTGCCGCCGCCAGCGCGGTTTCCGGAGAAGAATAGCTATTGTCCACTGAATACTTCTGGATCAGCGCCGTAGCCTGGTTAGATAGCGGGTAAAGTATACTGGCAGTGTCGATTCTAGAAAGCTTCTCGCAGAGCCAGTCGCTAGGTTCCTTTTTCTGTGGTGGTTCAAGAGTCTTTTCCTCTGCCTTTGCCGTTGGCATTAGCCATCTGTATCGACGGTCGTAGTCTGACGGGAAATAATCCCGCAGGTTGATCTCGGGGTGAGCGTTGATCTCATCGTGGAGATTGTTTACAGTTAGGAAATTGAGGCAGCCAGTCTCGGAAAGCTCTTTATATTGTGCTACTCGATGAGCGCGCAGATACGCAGCGCCGACAACGGATAGGAGGTCTGCCGAGGGGTTGTTCTCGAGCGCATCGTGGAAGGCTTGCATCAAGGTTTGGTTCATTTGCGGGGCATCGGGCCTGTTGATGGTGAGGATCTTTCGTTGATGGTTCAAGACTGCTGCCATTGCTCGTAAAAGGTCAACGCACTGCGTAGGCTCGAAATCAAGGCGTATCGTTTGGGGTTGTGGACAAGCCGACGCATTTTTTTGGGAATAGTATAGTATGGAGCCGCCTGGAGAATCCCGAGGTCATGTGACCTCAATCGACAGCCTCGTCTCCAACCTTGTCCAATGACGAACCATGCCGCGCCTTCGTCAAAGCAAGCGTGACGAGCCAGCATGTCTAAATAACTGCATGGACTTATGGACTTTCATAAATCAAGGAAGCAAAGGAATCGTAATTCTATGATCGCAACCGAGGAAGGAGAAAGTAGAATGGAATATAAGTATTATTATCCGAAAATACGCACGAAAATTAGCGGATAGGAAAATACATTGCAATTACACGGACTCCTCTCAAGAATGGATATTTACATGCGAGAACCAGGAACATACGGCAATAAGAGTAAGTGAATGAATGTGAGGTACTCCGCCGCAGTTCCTTCTATAACTCCATCCCATTATTGATGTCAAATAGTGTTTGCGTAGAATTTCATTCGCATATATGAACATCGAACTGCTTTGATGCAAAGGCAAAGTTAGAAAAGGAAACGTAAAAGATTTAAAGATCGCATGAGGCGTCGCCGACTCTATCCGACCAAATGCAAAGAAGCATGGGAAGGGAGGACAACATTAAGTCATTACGTAGTACTACATGGTCTTAACGCTAAGATTCATACGATCCCGGCCGACCCATGTGCCCTGTGCTAGTTGCCGATTCCGAGCCAGATGCTGTCGTATGAGCAACCCCTTCATTCACGCCTTCTCGCGGTCGATCCCAGGTACGGATATGGCCTGCATAATATTAGAGACGACCACGGAATGAAAACCACATGTAATAAGACAAATAGTTTCCACGAACATACCTTCAAGTGACGAAGTGATGATACAGTCCTCGAGAAATCCTAGCCAACAAATCGGATCTTCACCAATTACTTTGGACTATGCGTCATCATAATAAATGCTATCAGTTTCAAAAAATATCCACGACGAACTCGAGTCGGCCGACAGATCCCTTACCATTATTGGAGGCAATTGTGCAGTTCTTGCTCTGGGCTCCACGGGGTGGAAAGTAGGTACATCGTCCCCCTTCTCCTCCACAGGCTTGCTATCCGTACGGTTCGAGTCAGATCGCACTCGATTAGAAGAAAGAGTGTCGGTACGGCTTCGACTAGACGGTGCCACAACGCTAGTACGTTGTCGTGCCGTGGCTTGAAGCTATTGAGCATTGGAATTTATTGTTAGCTTCTTAAGGGACACGCAACTGGGTGTAGATGGCGATATTCTGCTCCGCAACAAAGCATGATATTCATATACAGGGAAGGGAAGGGGCTGGCAACATACCACCTTTGGCCGATGGAGCATTGCAACACTGAAATCCCAGAGGAGTAGTCGGCAGTCATCTCCAACGCTGCCAAACCTATAATTCCTCTCATCACATCGCCAAGGATCAAATGCCACACACGAGACCCACGAGTGGTGACCTTGGCAGCGTGCAACAATTTTGCGCTCAGAGAGGGACCAAATGGAAACGAGATCATCTTGGCCTCCGGTCAAAATGTATTTCCCATCTGGAGACCAGCAAACACAAAGCATCCCTCCATAGTAACTCATGAACGTGTCAATGGCTCTGACGCAAGGTACGGAGTTAGTTGAGAGTGGGTTTTTTTTTTTCTTTTTTCTTTTTCTTTTCTTTTTCTTTTTTTTCCTCAAAGATGCGGGAAAATCAGGTTACGTACTGTTCCTTTAAATAGTCAATAATCCGGAGTGAGCCATCTTCCAAAACAACAGCCAGATGTCGACTATCGGGGGAGAACGCGATGTTGTTGATTCGGTGGTTCGAAAGCTTCCAGTAGGCAACAGGGTTGGTCTTCTGATTCCTCGAATTGACGGATTTCAAAATTGTCAAAGTTTGGCTCGAATTATGAGATTTCTTCTCATCATCGGGTTTAGGCTGGCTAATGTCCGCAGTTTCTGGAACGAATGGCGCATCCTCTTTTTCTTTATCATATACAATAAGGCTACCATCTGTATGCGCGGCGAGGAAAAGGTGCTCCGAGCCAGGAATCCACCGGATCTGGTTTATCGGAGAACTATTTATGGCCCCGTTCTTGTTGATGCGAGCATACTTTTGCTGCATTGGCTCATACCACAGGATATCCCCGACAGACGAGCCCATAATCACATCCAGGTGTGTTGTACTTTTCGTCAGTTCATTCACATCATGGCAAAGCATATGCGCCTTCGTGAAAAGGATCTTGGTTAGAGGTTCCTGTTTCGTTTTGGAGCTAAGGTCCAGCCATTGAAAAGCACGATTGATATTAGCGAAAGCATAGACACCGTCAGGACTTCTCTCCGCCAGCCTCTTCGCTGCTGCATCATGGGTAATGACGCGAGAAACAAAGGTAGAACTGCTTTTGAGGATATTGTTCTTGGGTTTACGTCGTTTTAAGCCTGGCCCCTCCTTGCCTATATTCGTTGCGAGAGCGAGGCTGCCTTCTCCAAATGCCGGGGCTGATCCGCAAGTCTCCAATGTGTCAGATGTCGGCCGGCCTTCACTACTATCACTTTCTCTAATGCTCCGAAGATCCGACCTTCCACTCACCGACGTCCTCACTCTGTAGAGCTGAGGAACAGATTTGCGGGGCTGGACGACGACTAGAGATAGCTTAACCCCACACGTCGGGGGATGGACAACCGTAGCTAGAGGGTTCGTGCTGGTAATGGGAGCCTCGGAAGGATGGGGAGGTGGAGTGGCAAGGAGTAGATCGTCCCTAAGGACATAAGTTCCTACTCAGTGATTAGTTTGTAAGGGCCACGGAATAAGTACAACAACTTGGGTGCAAACCTTCTCCAACCTGAAGGGAGCAGCCCCCTTCGGGACGTTTTAGAACGTTGCTTGTTTCGATAATTGGTACCGGCAAGCCGTTTACCGTGCCATTAGCGTACGCCAAAGGCATCGAGTACCGAGGCGGGGGAGGAGGTAGTACGCTAGATACACATGTGAGATGGGAACTCTAACAGCTAACAGCAAGAAGGTGATAAGTGCGACTATCTCTTTGCCAGGGAGATGCAGTGAAGATTCACCATTCACCATTCACCATTCACCATTCACCGTTATGCCAATATGTATGGAGTTTGAAGAGTGAATAGCACTTACAACATGGCGTCGGAGATGGACACCTATATCCCAGATTTCAAAATGTTTAATGGGTAACAACGGGACAGGAAATTGCAATCCTACCACTCAGACGATGTGATAGAATATACAAGCGAGAGACTATAGGCCGGAGGTATCGATTGCGCCCGAGCAAATTGCGTAGGAGTTAAACCCAAACATCCAAGAAGATAGACAGGGACATGTTAAACAAGTCACCGCGATAAATTATTGACAGAATAATAAGAATAGGCAGAGAGACGTCACCATCATCAGCGAATCTTACTGCGGCGGACGGTGGAGGTTGAGATCATAACTAGGGCTGCGGGAAGGTGTGGGGAAAGGGAGTGGAAACGGCGAATTGCACGTGATGTAACTACTGTGTGGAATATAACTATAAAGTACTATGTACAGTAATAATACGAATATATAGGAAACCAACCCGTTTTAAGAACTGTAATTACTGACGGGGAAATATATATATATATATGGTAGTGTACATGATTAATTCACACATAGGTATCGTAAACTGCATATAGGTATATTAGAGGTTAGCTCCAGAGATATAGCCGCATAAATAAGGCAGATATATTCCGCTGGTAGACGCCTCCCTAGTACATAAAAAATAGAAGAAGAAAAGAAGAAAAAGAAAACCAACAGGCCAATGGCCCAGTGGGCGGCTCAATTCACGCCACCCGTAGCTCTGCGCCATATTACCACCGCGGCCGCTCCAGCACAGACGACCGCCCCAATTGCAATCCCCCAAGCCATCCATTTCCCTTCAACATCTTCTTCGGTTCGTGGAAATGCCGTGTTAGGCTCCATCGCTGCTTCCGCAATGTGAACAAACAGTTCCTGAATAGAATTCCACGTTACGCTGACATGCAAAGGGGGGCCTGGCATGTTTAGCCGGGTGGTGTATTCGTCTGGCTGAAACTCTGCTCGCTGCGTAGTCCGGTCCAGATCCGCTTTGAGTGCAACGAAAACGCTTGGTACCTCCTCGAGATGTGGGTATTTATTTCGCAGCGCCGGGATGTAGGCGAAAGAATCCGGGTCAGAAGAGTCATATGTGTAAGCGACAACATCGCATTGGTCCAGAAGTTTGGTCTTGTTTTCCAGAAGGGCAGGTTCCAGCTCACCCAGCTCATCCAGGATGAGGTAACATTGTTTGCCGCCGGGCAATTCCACGGTATTCACTGCGGTACGTGGTTGGATGGTTGGGTGGTATGTTGAGCTGAAGCCACGGGAGAGAAATGCGTCGAGGAGGGATGATTTACCCGAGGCTGGCGCTCCGAGGACATGACACATGACAACATTACGGCCAACGCGGCCAGGACGTCGTCGCTTTTTCCGGGGTTTGGTCACTTTCAGTGCCGCAGTGGTTGTCGGGTTCCCTCGATCGGATGACTCGAATCCAAGGTAAGCAAGGTACTCGAGTGTGGTTTTTGGTGATGTAAACGTCGTCATACTCCATTGTGCGAGCCAGCCCTGCAAAGTCACATGGCCAGCCTCGTTTCGTACAGTTGAGCAGGGAAACGCCCCTTCTATCCAGGAGGTGGGTAGGCCGGGGGTTGGGGCAAACAGCGAAGCCAACTCCGTGTCATTGAGTCCGCCATCGCTATCCTTGTCTGAGAGAAGGAACAAATCGACAAGGAAACGATACCCAGCTGGAGACAGTTCCGCGGATGCAAAGGGAGGAACTTCGAAGCGAGGGTGGAGGAAGTCTTCTTGAAGAGACAGGTTATCCGTGTATTTGAATGTCCGCAGTATGATCCATATTGTTTCATGGCGGCCCTTTTCCGCATAGAGTTTATTAAGTTGTAAAAAGCCCCGCACGCTAATTCCAGCAGGCGTAACAGCATCCGGGTCAAATCTGCGTATCGTCTCCTTGATATGGTCCAAATCCTCCTCCCTGAGGGATTTACCAAAACATTTTGCCTGAAAAGAGGCAATTTCCTTGTCACTCAAATATCCGTCACGATCCTTGTCACATAAATAGAAGATTCGATGGAGTGCGCTAACGGCGGCGGGTTTCAGAGCCGATTCCTTGGAGTCGAAGAGGGGCGCGATGGGATGTGTGACGGCCTTTTGACACAGAAAGAATGCTTCATTGACGTTCCGATGTTCTCTACTGCTGGTTCGAATGCAAGAGTCAATCTCCTTGAATTCTGCCATTACCGGAAGCATTTCATCCTCCACAACCTGGGCCTCGTTCCCCTCAGGGGCGAGATCCGACTTGTTGGCACATAGCACGACCGGGACATTGACACCCAAAGAGCGGAAGTATGGCAACCAAAATAGAGCAACTCTCTCGTAGCTGTAATGGTCCGAGTATACCAGTAAGATAACATTTGATTTTCGTATTTCCTTAGCCAGGTTTGCTCGTTCCTGCGGAAGGGCGGAGGTATCTACCACGGTGGTTGTAGTCACATTGTCAGGAGTGCCGATGGTCGGAGGAATGGTGATTTGAGGAAGGACAGGCTGGATCTTATTTGTGATAAAGACCCCCTTGACGAGAGAAGTTATTAGACTGGACTTCCCCGTTCCTTCGTCGCCGCACACACAAATCCGCACTAGGACACGAGGAGTATGAGAACCCCGTAGCTACCAGGAGCAAAAAGTACGTGTAGAAAACTTACCCGTCCCCATGTCAATATATCGTTATTGCGGTTAATTGTGTCTCGCATTAAAACGAATTCGAGGATATGCCCACTGCCACGCTTCCAGGAATTTTCAGCTGAGAGTTTGCCGGTTGTTTTCTTGCTTGCTTGCTTGCTTGTTTGTTTGGAACAGACACAGAAATAATGATGCAAGGAACGAACAAACAAGCCAAACAGTAAAGTTGCAAATGCGCCGGAATAAAGTGCAGCCGACTAACTACCGATTATCAGCCACAAAGCCGTCGCGGAAATACCTTTGTTCCGCGCGCATCCAGCACGTGTCGTTCATGGCAGGGCAAGCCAATGTTACGTCAGCGGAAACTTGACAGGTTTGCGGGATACTAGGCGTAAGAATCAGGTAATCTTGTTACACTACATCTGGTGCGGCTCGGAGCTTAGATGCATGTCGCTCTAACGTCCGTAATACATAAGATTACATCCTCGCAGCGTCACTGACTCAGCCACTCTCCACACCCCCGGGCACCCAACCCAACCCAAGAGCCAGACTTTCCAACACCTTAGTATTTTCTCTCCTCTCGTTCAACTCCCCTTCGCCGCCTCTCCATAACGCCGTGGCTACTTCCAATCCCATTCCGTATCTTATACATATTATTGTGTTGTGAAGGCACGGGTCTCCACAAAACACGTCTCGAATTCGCGGACCTAAGCTTCGGAGTGACGCCTCTGCCGCGACCATCCGCCTTTTCTCCTCCTTATCCTTATCTTGCTCATCAGCCACTTTCCCCTCTATATATTCATACCACGTTATATATATATATATATATCCGTAGCCAAAGTCATTCCCCTCTTCGTTCATCCAAGGTCTCGAATTCTGTGTCCAACTAGCAAATACTTCCGGGAAACATGCCTCTGGGAATTCATAATCCGCTGCCCTCTTCTATGAGGAGTGAGTTGGACCCCGAATTGTTCAAAACCCTCATGCAACTACCCGTATCCTACATACTGACTGACATCCTGCGGAAAATAGGCGAATGCAGAAAAGCTGGAAAAATCCTTGCTTCTTTTGTCGATCCCCGTCAAGCTTTCGGGCCAGATAAGATCATTCCCCCTCAGATATTAGCAAATGCAAAGGTGTGTGATAAGCTCTGCGTTTACATTACGAGGAAACCACTACATACACTCAATTTTTGTTGAAGTTCTTACGGAACGGGGTTACTGACTGCTGCGGTGGTAGGGTCTTGCGGTCCTTACCGTGATAAAAGCGGGCTTTCTTGGCTCTGCGCGATTCGGTTCAGGTATTGTCGTTGCCCGTTTGGCAGATAATTCATGGTCGGCTCCGTCCGCACTCGCCACAGCCGGGGCGGGATTCGGTGGACAAATAGGATTTGAACTAACAGACTTTGTTTTCATTTTAAATGATTACAATGCCGTCCGGGCGTTCTCTCAGGCCGGTAGCATAACATTAGGAGGCAATGTTTCAATTGCAGCTGGACCCATTGGGCGCAACGCCGAGGCTGCTGGAGCTGCGAGTATGAAAGGGGTTGCTGGAGTTTTCTCATATTCCAAGACAAAAGGTCTTTTTGCGGGTGTAAGCCTGGAGGGTAGTGTACTAGTGGAGAGGAAGGATGCAAATGAACGGCTTTATAATTCCAAAGTTTCTGCCCGCCAGCTGCTTGAAGGATCGATCCGTCCGCCCCCTGCCGCAGACCCTCTCATGCGCGTCCTCCAATCACGTGCGTTCTCTGGGAACGTGGGTTCTGGTAATGACTCAATGTACAATGATATCCCCATATATGACGACTCGCACGACAGAGTGGTTTGGGAGGGAAGGCGAGGCGAAGCGATGGGAGAGGGTGTGCGACGCGACCGCACCGGATCCTTGAATTCGCGAGATGACTATCAATACCATGATCGACCAAGGCGTGCCAACACTTGGGCTGATGACGTCTATGACCGGCCACCTGGTAGTAGCGGTAGCATAAACCGATCCTACACTACACGGGCTAATCCAAAAGAGACTTTTGATAATTATAGCCGCGCCGATGAAGATGGCTATTCGTACAGTGACAGGAGGCCGACACGTCCCACAGCCCCCAAGCCGGTGTTCTCCTCGAGACCAGCCGCCTCTTCGTTGCAGAAGAACCAGGCCGTGGCGCTGTTCACTTTCGATGCTGACCAGGAAGGAGATTTGGGATTTAAAAAGGGCGAGGTCATCACCATCATAAAAAAAACGGACAAGAAAGAGGACTGGTGGACAGGGCGAATAGGTGATAGAACCGGCATCTTCCCTAGGTAAGGATTTTGTAGACTGTTTTTATTCTTCCGAGCCATTTGGACAACTATACCTGTTGCTCTATACCTTTTCTGTCAAACTGACGATTATATATCCCCTTTAGTAACTACGTGGACGCCTCCACTCTCTAACCCGGCGTTTTTTTGATAATGACCAACATCCACCGCTCCTCCTGTCAACAGCATCCGCCAACAGACGATGTACTACCCAAGCATGCTCTTTTACGCGCCCCATCTCATTTTGACCATTCTTGCCCTTTTCACCAGTGAATTACCAACGTCTAGCCAACATCCCCAAGCGAAAAGACCGGCCTTACCGCCTCCCGTTTTACCCATATCAACTGTTATATATACCCGTAGCCCTATTTTTAGGAGTATACTTACATACATGCCGATCTCGATTTCTTGGGTATCTTTACTCTTTCGTTTTTTTTTTCTTCTCTTTTCTTTTCCCTTTTTTTTTTTTTTTTTTTTTTTTTTTTTTTTGAAAATCTTCAGCGCTTCTTCGGTTTGGTATATTATTGCTCAATTTTGTTTTTCATGTCTTCTTCAAAATGGCGCCAACACCTCGTTTCTTGCATTTTTCGTTTCTGTTTAGGCCCGGACGTCTGAGCTCAGCCCTCCCCCGTCCTTTCTTTTTTTTTTTTGTTTTTTAACCTCAATCTAGCTCCAAACTTAACCATTCCATGGCATAAAGAAGATTCACTTGATACGGTTTGAACAAATTATTATCCATTGCAGAGACAAGGCAAAGCACGAATTATGAATATTTTCCGCGGCGACAGCTATCCCCTAGAAGCTTGACCAGCCAATCTTTTGCACTGCCAGGCGGCGAGCTATCATACAGGCGGTCGGGGAAATGCTTCAATACATGGTTAGCTCCCTACCGTCCTCATTCCCCAGGTGCCCGGATATCTATTACTCTCACTGTTATGACGGGTGCAATCCGACGAGTATTTCTGGCGCTCATCAGCGCTTCCTAGCCGCGATTGGTATGATTTAGAAAGTCAGGCACTGTACATCGGCCTTCCCGATCCGGGTGATTTCCCACGCACCTTGCGATATCCAAATTTTCACAGCGTAGAACGTGCACACCCATATACGGCACATTCATTGTGCTATAATGTACATGTATGTATGTATGTACATGTACATGTACTTTCCCCAGCGTTATGGCCCACATATGCCAACGCTCTAATAAGAGAAACACGGGGGGTTAATTCGTCCTGGGCAGATCTTAAGAAAAAGAAATGAGTAGTTGATGTTCGCAAAATATTAAATGGCTTGCCTCTTTTCGTTTCCATCAAACTCAAAAGGGTGATGATCAAAAAGGGTGATGTTTCTTCTCCAAGGATTCCCATTCCACGAAACTGCTTCACTCCAAGGAATGTATGGCGGGAAGAGGTTTCAACGGGGTTCCATTCATAATTTTCTCTCGACGACTATCTAAAGGTTACTGTACAATTACATACAACAACCCCGAGGCGCCCTTCTCCGATTGTAATGCTCCCCTCCATCCTACTCATTAGGTGCGCTGTCTTGCATTGAGAAAGTGAATCGCTACTGGAGTTTCCTCACCATGCCCGTGCACATTTCTCGTTTACTTGCCACCAAGCAATGTCATGTCCCTCAGGTTCTTAGATGAAGGGTGGGATTTCATTGTATAGAATGTGTGTCTTGCCGTGACCACGTTCCACGTCGTCGTTTCCATCATAAAGTTGGTAAGCTCTGCCTCTAGAGGTATATGTTTCATATGGGGTGTTGTGCAATCTGCGATCTCGACGTGCGCAAAGCGCTTTGAACCATGTCAGAGAAGAGACAGGGTTTTACATCATTCCCACTTTAGGCCTTCCCTATTGAAGCTACGATTGCATCTTCCTCTACGACTTCTGGGAGTGCGAATAGTTTCAGCTACTTCAGTATCCAGTTATCACATTTTTCAGCTAAATCACAGCGCGGGATTGGAGAGGCAAGGTGAGGTGATTTATCTGCTCGCGTTGGGCGGCGGTGACACACATCTTCCTTCAGCTCGACTCTCGATAACATCCATCATATTTAGTTAACAGAGAGCACGTCCTTACAAAAGTAGGTACGATATGAAGAACATCCGAAGGCGAATCACATCTATTTGGTTCATTTCTTGTAGCGTGAGAGGTACAGACACGTTTTGTTTCTAAAGCACACGAGCCTTGGTGTGCTAATTATTGCGGAGCTAGTCCGTATTAGGAAACAGTGATTCTACAGGCGGCGTGCAATATCTCTCTATATAACCGTGCCATGCTTACTCACTCTCTGTAGTGAGTGTGCCACAGCGTACGGAAAACCACACTGTAAAGAAAATATTTTCAATATCTTCATTCTTCATCTTCAAATAATCATCATTAATTATAATCATGTCTAAATCTTCTAATTACACTGAGAAGCAGTTGCAAAGAGCTGTTGATGTGTACAAAAGCAATTCAAAATTAAAAATCATGTCTCTGTCACAAGAATTCAAAGTCTCATATACCACCTTGTATGAGAGAATCAATGAGAAGAAATCAAGGACTATGAGAGTTCCACTGAATCAAGCATTGAATGACAGCCAGGAAGAGGCAATTAAGATATGAATTCATCAATTGAACATTAATTTTTACTCATTCATTATCAAGCATATTGAAGCTGCTGTGAATCACATGTTGAGACAGCATCATACAGATTCAGAGACTGCACCTCTCACAGTAAGCAAGATATGAATATATCAATTCATCAAATGCCTGCCAGATTACAAACAAGTCAAGTAAAAACTCATGAATTCAAAATGATGCTCTGAATCTCAATATATATGATAGTGATGATGATGTATGCAATCACTTTACCTCATCACCTGCAGATTAACTATCAACTGTCTTCTCATAATTAACCTTCTCAGAGACAGTTGCAAAACTATGTCATTAAATTGATGCAGCAGTCAAGACCTTAAAAGATGTGAAGAATACTCTTACATCTGATTTAACAAGGCAGTTGAACAAGATCTTCAAGAATAGCATGATTCAGGTGGAATTGAACATACACTGTGAGAGTGAACTTGCAGATTATTATTAAGTAAATAGACATTGAGTTATCAAATCCTTTCACAGGCAGGTGCAAGTAGATGAAGTTCTCACTATTAAGAATGCTAATTACAAGATCATGATCTGTAGAGCAGATAAGATGAAAAAGACATTCAATAAAACTCTTTAATTAATTGAAATCAAATCTATAAAATCTACAGTCACTCAATTATAACAAGATAATTCTATAAAATCTCAACTTACAGTGAATTCTACACCTTCTAATGAGTATATAGATAATCTTTATATTATAGATAGATGTGATGATGATTATTAATTAATTTTTGAAGATTACTATATTCAAAATATTTTCTTTACAGTGTGTTATTATTATTATTATTATTCTTTCATTATACTCATATGCAAGCGGAGCTTATGATGAGTCCTTGCATGATGTTAAATACAGGCCAAGTGTTGGTTATACAGGAGGAAATACAGGTGTTGAGACCACGCCAAGATAACAAGAACATAGGAAATACAAAGGAGTGACAATTAGGTACATGCGATAATAACTTCCCAGCCCAGGAACATAGAGCGATTTATTGGAGCGATTTGTACACCTCTGTATTTATTAGGAACCTGAGGTGCTTGAGTTCCGGATTTAATGTATCCCCTGCGGGTTTCGAACCCACACACCTTGGTTTCCCCACGCCAAGGCGCTACCGGGTGGCCGCATTAACCATTCGGCCACCGGGGCTTCTTTACAGTGTGGTTTTCCGTACGCTGTGGCGCACTCACTACAGAGAGTGAGTAAGCATGGCACGGTTATTAAAGAAAAACCAACTTTTCCGTGCAAAAAACGCTGTAACGTGACCTCACGTGACATCACATGCACCCCATCAAAAATCCATGGATACGTAGTTGGCGCCTGCCAATTGCACCACTCTATCTACCCCCTATCATCACCACCGCCTCTAACGCCCTGTAGCACCCTCTATTACTTTCACTTCATACTCCTCCCTTCATCTTATCACTCACCTCTACCACCTCTACCACTCCTACCACTCCTACCACTTCTATACCACTCCTACCACCTCTACCACCTTTACCATCACTGCCTCTACCACCTCACAGCTCTCTCTATCACTTCCACTTTATATCTCTCTACTCTACCCCCATCTTACCACTCACTCTCTTACCATCTCTATCATCTCTACCACCTCTACACTTCTTTCACTCTGACCCTCTCTTACCACCTCTTATCACTTCTTACCACTTCTACCACTCCTACCATCTCTATCATCATCACTGCCTCTACCGCCTCGCAGCACTCTCTATCACTTTCACTCTCTATCTCTACTCTCATCTTACCATTCTACCCCTCTCTTACCATCTCTATCACCTCTTTTATTTCTACCATCTCTATCATCTCTCTCTATCATCTTTTTCACTCTCTAGCCTCTCTATCATCATCATTATCTCTACTACTCTACAGTCTCTTCTATCACTTTCACTATCTCTACTTCTCTCTTACTATCTCTACCATATTTTGATCTCTGTGTTTATAGTATATACTGCTAAATACTCTGTAATAAAATCTCATGTGATGTTATATACATCTCTTTGAATTCATGAATGAGATTGAATAGCTGACTGTGCAGTCTGTACAGCTCTGATTAATCTGATAATGATAATAGAGATGATACAGAGTGAAAGAGAGTAGTAGAAGAAGTAGAGATGATAATGATGATGATGATGAGAGAGTAGAGAGTGAAAGAGATGAAAAGAGTGATAACAGTGGATAGAGATAGAGAATGGAAGTGATAAAGAGAGTTGTGGGGCGGTAGGGGCAGGGTTGGTGAAGGAGGGGGATTGGGGGCGGGTAGAGGCGGTGGTGTGGTAAGAGGGGGTAGGGGTGAAAGAAGTGGTAAGAGGGTAGGGGTAGAGAGTGGAAGGGATAGGGGGGGCTATGAGGCGGTAGACGCGGTGGGGGGGTTGGAGGGGGTAGGGGTTAAAAGGG